CCAAGTTGTCTAAGTTCAATGCAAGAAGAACATATCCGATTTGAGCGAAACAATGTTTGGAAGCTTATTCCTACACTTGCTTATAAAACCATCATTGGGACAAAATGGATCTTCAAAAACAAAATCAATGAAAATGGCATTGTTATCAGAAACAAAGCCATATTTGTGGCTCAAGGATATTGTCAAAAAAGAAGGAATGGATTATAGTGAAACATTTGCTCCTTTAGCTAGACTTGAAGCCATCAGAATATTTCTAGCATATGTTGCCAACAAAAACTCCAAAGGTTTTCATATGGATGTCAATAGTGCCTTTCTAAATGGAAAGCTGTCAGAAGAAGTATATGTGAAACAACCTCCAGGATTTGAAGATTTAATTCATCCTGATCATGTATACAAGCTAGATAAAGCAATTTATGGTCTCAAACAAGCTCATCGGACATGGTATGATACTTTATCCACCTATCTTCTTGATCATGAATTTAGTCGTGGCAAGATTGACAACACTCTCTTTATCAAAAAGATTGATAGTAATCTCATTCTTATTCAAATATATGTAGATAATATAATATTTGTGCAACAGATGTTTCTCTATGTGAGAATTTTGCCAATCTTATGAAAAGCAAATGTACCTTGAGTATGATGAGTGAACTAACATTCTTTTATGGTTTACAAGTCAAACAAATGAGGGCATTTTTATTAGTCAAAGTAAATTTAAACATTGCTCACCCATGAAAACACTAGTGGCTCCTCCATTAAGGTTACACTCTGACCCTAATGGAAAATCAGTTGATGTAGCCAACTATAAAGGAATGATTGGTTCTCTTTTATATTTAACTGGTGTACCCGATATTTTATGTTCTATGCATGTCTTTTTGTTCAAGATATCAAACAAATCCAAAAGAATCACATTTTGCCAATGTAAAAAGGATTTTTAGGTACTTAAAGGGTACTCTTAACCTAGGTCTTTGGTATCCTGAAGATGCAGGTTTTGATCTCATTGGATATTCAGATTCTAACTATGTAGGTTGCCAAATAGACAAGAAAAGCATTACATAAACTTTTGAGTTGCTCAACCAATAAACAAAACTTAGCTTCAACATCTGCTGTTGAAGCTGAATATGTTGCAGCAGGATGTACAACTCAAATTTTATGGATAAAAAATCAACTTGTTGCTAATGACATTAAATTTCCTGTTATACCCATTTTATGTGATAATTCCAGTGCCAATGTTATTGCCAACAATCATGTACTCCAGTCAAGAACCAAGCATACTGACATAAGGTATCACTTTATCATAGAGCACATATCCAAAGGCAATGTGGAACTCTATTTTATTCCAACGGGTAATCAATTGGCTGATCTATTTACTAAACTCTATGTTGAATCATGGTTCAAGTATCTTATCAGTCAATTGGGAATTTTAGATGTTGAAAGATCAAACAATATAAGTGATCAATATATCATATTGTCATTTCATTACAGTTTTACTTTTGAACCTTTTCATTCAAAATATTTTTGATAAATAAAATAAAGGGTACTCAATTCAAGATTTGAAGTACACAATTCTGAAAACTACAAAATACGAACTTGGCAAGGTATGACTTTTTCTTGAAAATCTCCGAACTTCATGATCTCTCCATAATTTTCTTACATCCGACGAAAATTTGATATTTCAATTCTTATCTCATATCAGATTCTTGCACCTCCGATAAGATGATCCTCTATCAATAGTTTTCTTCACAAAATCCGATATAATCTAATACACATTCATTCTCGTTGTACTGTGATCGGATATTGTCATGGCTCGGATACTCCCTTCATCCGCACAGGTTGTTCTGATTCTTTTTCTATCCAACCTCTCCTCCTAAAAAGAATTGTGATCATTTGTGGTCGGATATAGTTCTTGATCGGATATCTTCTTCATCCGACTTCCTTACTAATTCCTTTCAAATCCCTTCTATCCGTTGAAGAACTCCAAGAGTTTGTGATAAACTCAACTTATATCTGTAATTATGTGTCAGACTTCAAAGAGTCGGCACTGTTTTCAAAGCCTAATATGTCGTTTCAACCACCAATTTTACCCTAATCTCAAATTACCTTCTATCACATAAATTCACTTCTTACTCCACAAAATTACAATTACCCTCCATTATTTCATACCACTGAACACATGTCTAAACCTTCTTCATCTTCTTCGTTATTCATCAATGGCGACCTATTATTAAGCTTCATCTTGACAACAGATCCTCACAACAATTTCGCTCCCGTATCTCAAAAATATGGGTAGTGTAGCTTGGACTTATCGGGAGTGCTTCGAATTCAAGATATTCTTTCAAGCCTCATACATTCTCCATTGTTTGAAGGAAATCTTTTAACTTCAAACTCTACTCTCCAACAATCGGATGATCAACCTCCATCTTTTCATCCGACTCACTCTACACATCCTTCATTATCTTGTCAACTATTGGAAATTCGACAACAGATCAATGATTTACAACATGCACAATCCCCATCTAACAAAGGACTTGAGGACAGCCAAATGCTTCAAGAACAAGTGGCCGCTAGTCTAATTCATTGTTTTATCACATCATTTGAACAACTTCACTCAAAGGTGGATGATCAAAACAAGTTGATTTGTACACTTGTCAGTAAACGTGTTATCGTCAAAAGGATGTGACTATAGATATAGATATAGATATAAACTTTTAGAGTTATTTAAGGATTAAATCTCCTTCGGTGCTTATCATTATTTATATGGAATCGTCCATGTTTAAAAGGCTTATAGTAAATGAGAATTGTGAAATCCTGACCTCCATTTGATGTTTTTATGTTTTGTTTATTCTATATCAGCTTGCTCGAGTCTAGGTTCTCTACCAAGTTACAGTTCCGAACCAAGATTCGAGCATGGAGCAATGGACATCGATTACGGAAATCGGTTTTTTTTTTATTTTGAAACAATGGTGGATTTTGATTATGATCACTTTTGTTGCATGAATTTTGATCTCAAAGTTTTAAAAAGTGTAGATGAAGAAAAATGGTCAAAAAAGAAGCGCCAAATAAATAAATAATTCAATGGAAAACCTCATGTTGTTAAAATTGCGATATATCGTCGATATATATCGGATATCGGTCTCTGGAAAAATATCGATCAAAATAATATCGCCTGTATTTCATCGATATTTTTGATGGAAAAATCGATCCGATATATCGATTTTCTATAAGACAAATGTTTGGGCTTTTTTATTACGTGTTGGGCTTAATTTTTTTGGGTCTCTTTATTTGGTCAACCAGTCAACACATATATTAGGTCTCATGTTTCTTCTCTTCTTGGTTCTTTCACAGTTCACGCTTATTTCTCTTCTCATTCTCCTTCATCTTCACGGTATGGCTTCTTTATTTGGTCAACCAGTCAACGTATTAGATGATATTGACTCAGATATCGAACTTATTGCTTGCTTGCGATTAGCTCGTTTTTAAACACTTTTCGTATTTTGTTTTGTAAAACATGTTTATGTGATGTTTTAATTTTCAAATTATATTTCTAAACTCTAATTAATACATATGATATGTTTATAGATGCATACATAATATATATATATATATATATATATATATAATTCTAAGAAATATTATATTAACCGCTATTTTGAACCGAAATATCGAATATCGGTTATGACCGATATTTTGTATTTTGACTGCAATAACCAAAACAAACCGACAAAATCTAGTATATCCTACTTGGATGTAATATTTGAAGAGATGGGATGTGATTTTTTTCTTTTGTGCAATTAAGTGGTTCCTTTTTAGAAAGAATTTTATAAAAGATGGAATAAGATGTGCTTTCAGAACGAACAAGATATCAAAATATTTGAAGTCCCTTAGAGGTTGTTTACCAAATACTTATTGGGTAAGTATTTGCCTGCAAAAGTCATCACCCCACTTACCTTGTCGGGAAACATTTTCGCCCATCAAAATCGATTGTTGTGTCTTTTACCCGGTAAACGTTTAACGGGTACTAAGCAGTTAAGGCGATCAATAGTAAAAATAGCGATCGAGACCTTGATTTGAAATAGCAGTTATAACGATGTATAACAGTAAAAAGTATGCTCATAAAATAAATACAACTTAAAATATTACATGCCCAATACATATCAAGTGATTCAATTCAAACAATTAAAACCACACCAGCACAGCAGTCGACTGTGTGTCGAGCAAAATTTGTGGGATCTAACAGATTCTTAATCGAGCATGTTATTCTCAAGAGTGTTTTGGACTTTGGCCTTGGAAGTTGGAAACTTTGGAATCGAACAGATGTTGTTTACCAAACACTTACCCGGGTAAGTGTTTACCAAGTCACATACCTTACCCAAAAAATATGGCAAGGACCAAGAATCTTACCCGATAAGAACGAGCCAAGAAATGAGTCTTATCCGGTAAGTGAGGAAGAAGACTCCTACCATGGTTAGCACTTATCAGGTAAATTGTTGTATCCAATGCCGTTTTGGTGGACTATAATCTTACCGGGTAAGAAAGTGATAGTGTTGAATTTTACCAATAAGCGTTTATTGGATAAATGTTCTGTAAACGGCCCCTAAACACTTACCGGTAAAATTCAATACTATCGCTTATTTATCGGGTAAGATTTTATTCACTAAAACGCATCATATGCAACAATTTATCCCGGTAAGTGCTAACCATGGTAAGAGTCTTCGTCCTCACTTACCCGGTAAAACTCTCGATTCTTGCCTTCGCTCTTACCGGGTAAGAATCGACGACTTGGTAAGCACTTACCCGGATAAGCGTTTGGTAAACGGCACTAGAAAAATTCACCAAACAAAAACCCTCATTTTTCTAGATCAAAATGGGAAAATTTTCTTCATCCCATTTAATGGACGACTTTTAAATTCTTGCGGTTCCCAGCCCCCCTCAAAGAGCACAAATATGTACACAGACCAGACATCACCTTACTTCCAGAGAGTAAAGCAACTCCCCACACATAGTGATTCTAAGTTCATTGACATTAGATATATACAACCTTCTGTTTTACAACCGAATAATCTGCACCACGAATACATGTATCAAGATCAATGGTTAGTAGTACTACCTCTATAATCAGCTGCGACCATATATCCAGTGTTCGAACGATTTCTATATCTGCTTGCAAGTATTCTCAACGTACTTGTACAATGGCTGTCAATCAAGAATATAAGATTGTCCTGAAAAGTTAGGAAGATGTCGTTACAAGTTAAATAAACGAAGAAAGAACATTCAAATCACATAAAAATTGCATTTAGTATGCCGACATGACTGAATAAGACTGAATAAGATTAACCAGGCGAGTGGTAGTTTAGTAATTTAATAATATTATCCCATCTACCTTATTTTGTCCCACTTGATTCCTATTCTAGTCTAATGTCACACCAAACACACTCGATTCCTATTCCAGTATAATGATGCAAAAACATGGGATAACAAGTTTTTGTTGTTGGCAGCCCTATCCTAACCTTATATAGGCTATAATATATATAGTGATAGGTTCCATTAGGAACCTAAAACTGATTACGAACCCGGGAACCACCCACAGCGTGACCAGTTGCATATTCATCGTGAATATGGATGTATTATTCGTCATGAATGTGTGAATCATGATGAATAATACGTCCATATTCATCATGAATGTGCGATTCATAATGAATAATACTTCAATATTCACCAAGTATGTGTTATTCATGAAGAATATTTATCTTGAATATGGACACATCGCACACAATAGGCGGTTTCCGAGTTCCTACTCAGTCTTGAGTTTCTAACGGAACTTTCCTCTATTCTCTCTCTCTATATATATATACACATTTATATGAATAGGGAATCAGTTTCGATGTCTCACATGTTAACAATGTTAATGAACTAGCTGTTTGGGGTCTTTGATACTTGACGTTGCCGCCTCCCGTTAGACAGATTGCTATCACTGAGACTGCCTTTTTCTATGTCTTCATGAACTAGGGAAAATTCATTGGTCCATGGATTCAAAGGAATTAAATAACTGTCATCCTTCGGGCCTCTTCTTCTCTCTTCGTGTCGTTTTACATTTTCTGAAATCTCATGAAACGTTCTGTTTATCTTTGCTATCCCCCTTTCGACTGGTTCTACAACGTGGGAAACTGTGAACTTCATGTCGTCAACAATCTGTAAGGAGCAAAATTTATTAGAACCAGAAGAGATTGATTCAAAGCAGTAACCAAGGAAATAACTCACAATTTCACCACTTCCAATGACCACATCACGAAAACTTTGATGTAACTTGGGACGCTTTGGTCTCTCATCATGGCAACCAAGGCGCAATTTGGGGGTTCTCTCAGAGTCTCGAACCTCTTCTGGATCCGCTGGTGCTCCTAATGACGCATAGTCACTCATCACGGAGACATCACGCACACACCGCTCTCCACGTTTGTAAGGTACTGCTGGGTAAACATACAAGTGCACCACAGCAGCAATACCCATCTGTTTCACAATCTCAGTACATAGTTAAACCAATCCAAATAAGCTTAGTATGTCCCACCCAGAGGTGTGGTGGGGTGTCGGATGTATGCAAACCTGTCTACCCCAAAGGTAGAAAGCAGGCAAAAAGATGTGTCTCTTACTAGGAAAAAGACCGACATGATAGATAGACCCACATGTAACGGGCATATATAAACCAGACCCGCAAGCAAAAAGATGTGTCCATTCCAAAGCACACTCCATTCATCCCACTTGCACCAACCCAAATAGTTATCTAGGTGAAACAACATTAGACATCTGGTCTACCGAATAAGTCCCTGAACTGAAAGACGTATAACGATTTATTTCTAGAACTTGTAAAAACGACAATTTAGTCAACGAACTTGAAGAGTAACGTCCAAGTCCTAGAAGGCTGGAATGTACAGAAAATAACCGTTTTTTGAGAAATTAGCAGAACAACACTACAGTGTCTTCATATGAAGGGGGCGTTTGGTTCCCATAACGGAATTTGGTGGAATTGGAATCCATCAAAGGAGTTTGACTTTGAAGGAACTAGAATGGAATTTGACGACAACAGTGGTGGCATGGTGGTCGGCGGCGGGGGTGGGTGGGTGTGACTGACAACAATAGTGGATTGGTGATCACTGGTGGATTGGGGTTGGGTGGACTCCACAGTATGGTAGTGGGGAGTTAGGGGTGTAACAGTGGCAATAGTAGCATGGTTGTGGTGGAGCAAGGGGTAAGCGATGTTGGTTAAACTGGATACAAGAGGATGGAATTCAATTCCTTCACTTATGCCAACGAATTACGGATTCATCAATTTATGGAATTCAAACAAAGGAATGGGAATTTGGTCAAAGGAATTGATCATTCCAATTCCTTTTGAATTCTGCAAACCAAACAGCACCTAAAAGTTCAGGAATTTGTGGATAACCCCTGGACTTTCAAGAATGTTGCAAAAATGAAATGAAATTTGCTATAAATAGAGAAGGAGCGAAATGCTATATATTGGATACTGAAGAAAGAGGCACAAGACAAGCATACTCCTATTTTGAATGTTTGTTTGACTATTGACAATTACTTTAAATGTCATATGTTTAGAACATGGCGCCACATAACAAGTAATTCTAACGGAGTTCTACAAAGATAGGATGTAGTTGTCACACTTTTGTTCATCTGCAAGAATGGACAGATTTTCAAAAAGGATGGCATCATTAGATATCCATATAGGTAAATATTAGTGCTTGTAGTAGTAGTAGTAGTAATGAAATGGGATCCTTCATGTAACTTCAATGTGATCAGGACTTGCCTTCGGAATGGATCATGAAGAAGCAGAATTGGGATTGACGAGTTAGTTTGTCCTCTACAAGATTCTTTACGGGTGTTGTTAGTTGTACTTCCTGCCTTGACAGTTTTATGTGTATATAGTCACATTTATATCCAGGGTTTCAGTTTGTATTTTATCATTGGCCCACAAGTCCACGATGTACATATTAGTTATACGGGTTCCCCTCGGTTATGGACTTCAGTTTGAAACCCTAAGAAACTATTGACTGTACCATCTAGAAGAAAAGACTTCATTCCATCCATATCTCAGTTCCCATTCATTTAATATCCTTTTGGTGTCATTGACATAACAGATGTCATTCTATTCTATTCTCTTCCAATTTCTTTTCTATATATGGATGGTTCCAAAATCTGATGATAGGAACATTAAAATATCAGTTCAACTGTAAACTAGTTTCCAACAGAAGCTGTAGTTGGTTAAGCAATTATGACTCTGGTTTGACATAACTATGAGAAAAGGTTTAAGGATATAAAGTTGACAATCTGCTATTTCAGATGACAATCCGAAACAGTCCTATCACATGCATAAGCAGCAATGAGATATAGCCTAAATGCTAATGTTTTGGCGTCAGATAAAAAGACAATGAGCAACAATCAAATGAAACAGAACGCACCTCAATGCAGATTATATAATCTTGTATACGTGTTTTTAGCTCCTGGGCCAAAGATCCTTTAAAGGCTCCCATAGAAAAAAGAAATGCAACAGCAACACCTTGCCACCATGTCAGGAATACTATCGACTTAAACGTCAAGAACTTGGCCAAAGGTTTGATTGGTGCTAGCTTATCCTTGGTTACTGAATAGAACTGCACAAGGCAATACAAGGCCCAGCTCTGGCTGAAGTTAAGAACCACCGCCAAGTATGGGTAGCTGCAGACAAGTAATACGAATGTCATTACAAAAAATAGCAGAGCCATACCAAAAACCACTTGGGGTAAGCTCAAACACCAAAAATATATTTGCATCCTAATTGTACTAAATTAGAAAAAAAAATTATCCAATAAAAAGATCCATAATGGTGGGCATTAGTGAATCACCAATAACAAGATCAGCTGAAGATAAAAGTTTAAGCTAATATAGAAGTATCTTACGCATATCCCCGCTCGAACTTCCCTTCCCCATAAACACCAAGATACTGAAAAAACATTGCTAATGGTGCACAGATAAGCTTCAGTATCATCTGGAATCAGGCAACTTTGATCAGATGAAGATATGACAATGAGGAAATGCGCTATTAGAAATATATTGACATATACAGAAGTCCATACATATTGCACAATGCCAATTTTTACAGCCTGATAAAAGTCGGGACCAAGATACCACTCCTTAAGTAAGCAACTCAGCGGGAAAGGGTGTTCCACAATTCCGTAAGCATATGATTCTTCTATAAGGGGTATGCTGTAGCTGATAATACTTTTACTTTCCATGAACTCAATAGTACTATCCTCTCCACCTTCAATCAGCATAGTCTTGGTCAGAAGCAGGTAACAAAAGATACATGAAATATGAAAGATAAAAGTTCACAAGAATAAGGATCACTACTATAAGACAAAGGATTGCATAAATGCCTCTGGAATAAAGGGAGGTAACACAGAGACCATAAAATAAAATGAGAGCCTAACAGATAACAACATGAGAGGCCAAATGTTGAGTGTTCTTGTTCACATCTTAGACATAAACTATTTAAGGGTTCAAAATTGGTAATTTCAGAACAATAGCTGCTGTACATTTTTATTATTTCTATTACAAAGTAAAAACAGAAAGGTTGAATCTTCGACTAAGTGGTTAGAAGAAATTACAACTTCTGTAAGAAAGATTCTTGATTCAAGTGAACTTATATACACTACATTAAATGTATCAAAGCAAATTTAACACATTGGTACATAATAGATGGACTTCATTATTTTGGAAATAAAATCCTTAAAGACATACATTTCAAAAAGAAAATCATTTGCAACTCATTCATGAAAATATATCAAACCTAACTTCAAAATTGTTCCTTTGTTAATAGAAATAATTAAACATCATAACATAATTGAAAGCTATTAACATATATCAAAGCTAAGTTCCATGCATACTCATCTATGTTAAGCATAGTGAGTACAAATGGAAATGTGATATTAAACATCATAAAACAACTGAAATAATTCATATTTTTTTTTCGCATGGGATAGTTCTCAACTGTTACTTTTAAACCGTTATGTTTTCTTATACTTATAACCATTAGTACAGTTTCATATTTGTTAAATTATTCTGATAAACAGTTGATATATGATTTTTCATATTCATATTTATAGCATGTTTAATATACATGTAGCATACTAGTTACATGGACACACCACCCTAGACATTTTGTTGGACAAAACAAATAGAGTATTATGCTTTGTAGATCATTTTGTTCACCATATTGCAGCATTCAAAATAAATACTTCATATATGCAATACATTCATTCAGTGATGCAAAGGAATGGTTCATGCTTCACCTCACAAGAAAATACAAATGACTGTTCATTAGGCATACTTATAATGTCACAAAGATTTATGTGCATACTTATAATGTCAGAGAGATTTATGAACATACCACTAGCTAAAAAGTGTAAATTTTCTAATGTTCCCTTCTATAACCATAACATCATCCCCAATACACGCCTCTTATTGTGGGCAGATAAAAATAAAGATCCTATGGAACAATTTTGTATCAAATAGATGCATAAAGAATATTTTACAGAAATACCACCCACGGCAATTAGTTGATGGAATACTGCCTAAGCAAATTTACTACCTACAACATCTTCAGATAGTAGTCAACTAAGGGGCCATTTACCAAACGCTTACCGGGTAAGCGTTTATCGGCAAGAGTCACCACCCTCACTTACCTTATTACCAAGGAAGATTCATGGTCCTTGCCATGCCTCTAACTGGGTAAGATTCATGGTCCTAGCCGTGCTCACCTGGTAAGATAAGTGATCTGGTAAGCGCTTATCCGATAACCGTGTGGTAGATGGCCCCTAAGTATAGTATACAAAATAAATTATGAAGATTTTGATCCTTAACCAACCAAATTCCAAGCTAGGTAATCATGTGCTTTACTACAAAGCTAGTAGACAGCTAGAATTAACGTTGCTGCCATGATGGATGAATTGGAGGTATGTACCACATTACCATGTTTTCAATATTAAGTCGATCATCCATCACCAAACAACTTAAACTAGAAAGTAGAACGGCAATTATTAGAGAGCTTCATAAAAGTGTAGAGTATTCTTCAGTGGCTAATGCCAAACATAAGGTGCACTAAAAGCCTTAAAACAGAACCGGTATGAACATTATCAAAAGTTGTCAACCCAAAAAAGAAACACCTTTACGTACAAGCAAGACAAAAAAAACACACATAGAACTACAATCTATCATTTTGCTTCATAAAATTTGGACACCCTGCAGAGGACCTTCAGAAACACAAACAACCATCATAAGGACCTTCAGGAACATACCTAAGCAGGCTATTAGATATCTCCCGAAGCAATATAGGGCAAAAGCTTCATACCAGTCCCTGATTATTTCATAGTTGAATGCAGCATCTGCATCCAATAGTGACAAAAACTGTATAATTTGGAAAACTGAAAGTTAGACTTGTTCACTGAATGACTGATTGAATGGAAAATCAGTTGCAAACAAATGCAAAAGGACTAAAACCAAGAGAAAACAGTTTGTAAGCAGAATCCGTTTTATGAGTTATCATCAATCTCTACAAAAAGAAAAGCACAGATGATATAGAGAATATTTCAACAAATGTTTAGGAGGGCATACTAGAAGTATTTCTAATTCTAAAGTATGTCTGAAATCTAAACAAATTAATGTGACAGGAAGTGTAGAAACTTCTTCATAATGTGGCACAAGAAGTATCTCTTGAACAAATTACATAACTCCTATCCAAATACTTGTGATTCTGAAGTTATGATCGTCAATATTGCTTCTCCAAAATTTAAAATACTTATCCAGAAACATCTAAAGCATTAAAGGATTCCACAAAAGATTGATGTTACCTAATGATACGCTCATATGCCAACATTTTCCATCTCTACATACTTTTTCTTTCTCATTTTCTTTTTCTTCATATCTTGCAAGGGAGAGGCATAGGAAGATGGCCCCTTTTAGACTATATGGATTATCCTATTATTCAAATATATAGTTCAGTTAGGACCTACAAAAAATATTTGTTAACATGTACAGTAACATCTAGATCACAACCACGGTCCATCTGTCTAACATTTTTTGTGTTGCTTTCTGGCAGCACTCAAGTTTTAATTAGTGTGTCTACCAATGCATACCAATGCCCTTCCTATACATCCTCTCCGTCCTAAGAAATACAACCTTACCACTCTGGTTAGCCTTTAGACAAAAAATGCAACATTTCCTTTTTTGGTAAGTTCTTAACACTAATCAACATTTTTGCCCCTTAATAATCATTAATCAAAATCAGTAACTTAATTATGGTCCACAAGTTTTCTTTATTTTGTCCTAATTTAGGGGGGGGGGGGTAGACATTCAGTCAATAGACAAGCTTTTTTATTAAACTATGTACCAAGTCAAACGTATTTTATTTTGGGATGGATGAATGAAGCATATAAGGACTCATATGACCTATCTAAACTGAATATAGATAGGGAATAATTTTTTTACTAAATAATTAAAACATTCCGATTCAAAAGTTTCCAATCAAACATAAATCATCGGAGCACACATACACAGTTTTTTAAATTACTCAATAGCCCAAGGCAGATTTCAAAGAGCAGAAAAAAGATGTTTCTTAGGTTGACTTGCCAATGACTGGTCCCATCCATTGCTTTTTTATATTATCTGATATATACTAACATATACCACAGAATAGTGATATATGAGCTTTATTCTTTATCAAGACAACATATATATAATGATACGCATATACATGCATACATACATACAATCACACACACACGTGATGCGTATATGTAGACTATATATATATATATATATATGTGTGTGTGTGTGTGTGTGAGTATTCATGTTTCGTAAAATGACTTCAACTTGTCTCAACATTCTCTTTCATCAATGACTTCAACTTGTCTCATCGACTAAGCTTCCTTTACGTTATTATAACCACTCACAATGTAGCAATATTACTCAAAGTACTGTCTAGTGTCTTGGTAAATAAGTAAACCTACAAATACAAACACAAGCACCAACAAAGAGAACAGAAAATATAGAGTGAGATCTTCGTACCGATTCCAATGCATAAACAGGAACCATCAGAACAATTCCGATTAAGAACTTCTGCTCCTGAAATCAAATTAATTCTCACTGCCATCAGCTGGAGATGATAACAAATAACAAGATCATGTTAACATAACTCGTGTGATAAATGTTATTACAGGATGAAGAAGGTTTAAAGAGAACATCATGTTAGACAAAGCACCGACTGTAGAAAATAGAAATAATTGATATAAAAAGGAAAATCCGGAGTTTGAAAGATATATGAAATATCAAACCTCAGGCTGATTGTAAGCAGCTAAATGCTCAAAGATAAGATATGTGGAAAGAAAAAGAGCAACAAGTACACAAATGCTTGCACTGAAGATTGTCCAGCTGTAAAGAAAAGTTTGTTCAGCACCAAGGTTGCTTGGCCACGTTGACCATGGTCTGCTCGAGGACTCTGCCAAACTGAGAACGAGAAATAGAAAAAGAAGTACTACTCTCCATCCTATCGGAAACATTTGATGACGTCTCTTCTACTATGACAACAAATGGTAGCACTATATCAAGGAATGTGAAAATAAATCCCACAATTATGTCAATGAAGCTTAAGGCATATAGGAGATCAGCTATATATTGAATACAACCATGCTGAACTTGAATCTTATGTTGCATTAATCAAGAACACATCGATGTTGAAATTTATCAGGTCTGACTCATGTTAGGGCCTTTGAGTGATCTTTGTAAACCAATAAGGTTGTCTTGGTATATGAGGATAGGCTGCTTGAAATAAGATGACGAAGTCGACAACACCAAGACAAGGAAACCTGCAAAGATTTCACACTATTAAAACAAGGATGATAAGGTATGTGAATGGCAACACGTGGTGAATGCTAAAGTAACAGATTTATTAGAAAAACTGAATGTTCTAATTGAGGATGAGCGGGATTCCTGGTAAGAGAGAATAGAAACATGATTTCATGTCAAACTACAAACAAGAAACATCATTAGCTCTGTTTCCATGCCTCACTGACAATATCTTTGGCATATAGCAAACTTTTATGACAAACCTAATACAAATCGGCATGTTTAAACTTTAAACCACACTTTGATGAGAACCAGATAAGTAAATGAATGAGATGCACAATATAGAAAAGGACAGATGAATCTCGAGATGACGAGGAAAATGAGAATCACTTCTAACTTCAGTGTGCTAAACTGGTGGGTTCAGCCTTTGAAACTGCAGAAGGCAGAATTATACCATATCTTTCAAGTCATTAGTTATGAACACTAGCAAAAGTAACAAAAGCAATTGTTATGGAGAAGGCTGAAAAGCATATACATCTTGCAACAATGGCCATGGAAAATGTATTTCCAACCGAACTTCAATGCAATTTATTGCCTTAGGCACCATAAATTGGATACCAATAAATATGTCATAAGCTAGAAAGTTCAACATTTGAAAGATATGTGGATAACTACATATTCTTTTTGTTACCATGGTGGGAGTCATGTACTTCTGTTACATCCATACTTCAACTATTAATCAAAAGATCAGATTTATAATCACCAGGGTCATCTAATTGACAATAAGTATATGGTTCAAACATTCAACTCCATCACTCCACGTTGCAAACTTGCAGTGTAAATCATAATTATCTTCCAGGAGCATAAAACTCAATATTTTCAAAACAGCTATATATTTGACATATTAAGGGTGGAGGCGGTGACACATAACACATTTCCCTTAAACAACAGGAGTGCATGTAACAAGCACTAGCCATTAATTTGTTCTCAGTCCCAATATTTAAGGAATTTTATACAAATGAAACTATGAAAGAGAAAAGGGGGGAAAAAGCAAACGAGGTAACCAACCCACCTGCACACCCTAATTGGGAACCACGTATTCCTTACAAGAAAAAAAAAATCCAAATAGGAAACTCAACATTCTACAATCCAAGCAAACATGTTTCCTGATAAACCCCAGTCTCCCAAAACCCAACGAACTTAGGGGAAGTTGATCTAATTGATTCAAGTAATGTTTAAGCTCGAATTATCCAACAAGAAAATTAATGATTCCTTACAAACATATATGATTGATTAACCAATAACCACCGATACAACAAACAATTAATGTCAACAAAAATAAACGTCAACTATAAAAATTAACCTCAAATACGAACAAATATTAAACAACCTGAATGTGTACGAACTGCTTTACGGAATAAAACCCTAGAGAATAATGATTTCACTTACAGAAAAAGCGTCACAACATCGATATATAGAACGCTTCCACAACGTATTCAAGTGAATCTTCAAGAATTTCACGATGAATCTTTGACGGTAAACGGAGAGGAATCTCGTCGGAAAAAATATTCCGGAGCTTTTTAAGGAGATTTTTGCAGAGTTCCGATTACGATTTTTGCCTTGGCGGTTGGGAAAGAGGGTGGGGCTTTGCGATATCTTGTGGGGGATTCGTCGAGGGATAAAGTGACAGCTGGCTCTATTTGTTCCGTGACAGCTTCATATATACTCCTAAAATAACTTGATGACGTGGATGTCTATGCCTTGTTGGAGATGTTTCATTGGTCCGTAAGATTTTGTAAGTGTTTTTCGCCGTGACCGGATGTTTTGACGTGACACATATGATTTGCTTTTATTGGAAAAACCTTGTTTTCACATGAAATACGATCAATGATGATTTCCATGCAAACAAGTAAAGCCTTTGAAAAATAGATGTAAAGAAAATGGGTCAAAATATTCCTTTCTTTTTATATAAATCTATATTTTTACTATATTATAAATTATTTAATAAAAATTCTTTAAAAAAAAATTATGTATGAAGTACTGTTTATTTATGCATATTACTTAGAATTCAAGATTACAAGTAATTTTGTGTAAATACAACTTATTGAAGCTCCATTTTTAAATTCGTGTAATTAACTGCAGATAAACATAGTTAAATATAGAATAAACATCAATTTTAAATATAAAAAATCAAAAATATAATTAAGATAATCATTAAGTTCTAACATAATGTTTAATTATTATCTTTATAAAAAGTTATATTGTTAAACCAAAAATAAATTATTTTGTTATTAAATCTAAATTAAATTATAATAAAAAAATTGAATTAAAGAATTTACAACAAAAAAACGAAAACTATTAAATAGTTAATTTGATACTAATATCGATTTGTTTTGTTTTCAAATTTTTATTCTATATTCAAATTTATATTTCATTCAAAAATAAAAACATCATTGTTTTCTTAAAACCACATAAAATCGTATTATCCTGATAGAGACAAATAATAAAAATTAAACATTAAAATCGAGATTTATCTCGCTGCAATGTGTGAGTATTCTCCTATTATATTATAAAGCATTTGACAAAAATTCTTAAAAATCATTTTTTATGTTTTAAGTATTGTTTATTGATGTATATTACTTAAAATTCAATACTACAAATAAAGTGTGCGTATGTACAACTTATTAAAGCTCCATGTTTGAATTTGTATAACTAACTATAGATAAACATAATTAAATATTGCATAGGTATCTAATTTTAAATATAAAAATTTAAAATATATTTAGGATCATCACTGAAATCTAACAAAATACTAATTATTATCTTTATAAAAGAATGACATTTATAAATCAAAAATAAATGACTCCATTATTAAGTCTAAATTAAATTATAATAAAAAATTGAATTAAATAAATTACACAAAAAAACAAGAACTTTTAAATATTAAATTTGATACTAAAATTGATACATTTTTTTCAAACTTTTGGGATACCTTTAAATTTATATTTTATTCAAAAAATAAAAACATTATCGTTTTTTCAGTATCACATAAAATCGTATTATAGCATCGATGGAGACAGAATAAAACGAAACATGAAAGTCGAGATATATCTCACTGCATCGTGCGAGTACCCTTCTAGTTGTTCTTTAGTTATTTTCTCTCTAATTTATATAAATATCACTATAATCATAAGTTTCATGCCTCAAATTACGTACCTAACTAAAAGACAAAAAAAAAATCAAATTGTAGACCTGGCTCTCGCAATTGCAAACCTGACCATCACAATTATGGACCCAATTTTCGCAATTGCAGACCAGAATCAAATATGATAAAAAAATTGTCTTTTAGCTGGATCTGCAAGTGACGGACGTGGGACTTGCAGACATAATAATATTTGGGTAATCAGGTAGAGGATTGACTAGGAGCCTACGCAACCAATTTATTTGAGAGTAATGGCTATTTTGGTCAATTTCCTTAAATAATTTAATTAAAAATAATATATTCTATGACAAAAATAGAGTAAATTATGATTTTTTATCCCTGGTTTATGAAAAATTGCCTATTTCGTCTTTGTGGTTTTGAAGTTATGGTTTTCATTCTTATGATTTACAATTTATTGATAATTTTGTCCCTGGACTTGATTCCTACCTTTAAGTATGAGAGACTAAGGAGCCGTTTACCAAACGCTTGCTTGGTAAGTGCTTACTGTATAAACTTTCTCATCGGATGAACATGACAATGGTCAAGAATCTTACCGGGTAAAAGCAATAAGAAGGATGGAGAATCTTACTCGATAAGTGAAAATGACGACTCTTACCCAAGTAAGTGCTTACCCGGTAAATTGTTGCATTCGATACGTTTTGATGTACTAAAATCTTACGCATCAATGTAAATTAAAGTGTTGACTCCTATAGGTAAACACATACTGGGTAAACATTTGGGTAAACACTAAACAGCCCCTAAGATAACAAAAAAAAATTAAATCATGTGGAGAAAATTTGAAATAAGTTTTAAATTATAAGAACGAAAACAACAATAAATTATAAACAATAGAGATAAAAATCGTAATTTCAAAACTACAAGAACGAACAAAAGCAACTTTCACCAACCACAAGGACAAAAATGTAATTTACCCTAAAATTTTGTAAATATAGTACAATATTTTTCTGATTAATACAAAACAAGAGAAAAGGGGAAAAAAAACTCGAATACTCCTGGGGTTAATGGAGTCATGATTAATAAAGTTCGGGCCCGTTTACCAATCACTTATCGGGGTAAGCGCTTACCAAGTCACATTACCTTACCGGATGAATATGCAAGAACCAATAATCTTACCCGATAAGAGGAAAAACAATGACCAAGAGTCTTACCCGGTAATTGAGCACGAGATATCACGATTAGCGCTTACCGGGTAAATTGTTGATACGATATCGTTTTGATGGACTAAAATCTTATATGCTAAGCAAGTGATAGTGTTGAGTTTTGCCGATAAGCACTTACCTGGGTAAGTGTTTGATAAACTGCCCCTTAGAGAAGACCATAGTCATACAAAAATGACAACCACAAAATCAAATCCAATTTTTTTTGAACTTAGAAACGTTAGTATAATTTTTGTTTAAATTATATGGATCAAATCCGTAATTTACTCCAAAAATAAATTACTTGTGCTAATTTGATAACAAAATATAAGATCTTTCTTATGACATAAAATGATAATTTTATTAAAGTAGAATATATTACATTACTTAAAAAAGTTAGGTTTTAAAATGCTTTTATATGATACTAGTTGTGTACCCGTACAATGCGGTGGGAGCCGTGAATTTTAACGGTTCTGAAGCTTCAGTGGTTTTGTTAGAGGAGATTTTAACGACGATATAACTTACACTTGGTCTTTACATAGTAATACAATTTGAATAAATATAAGTTATGGTTCCAATTACAGTCTATCAATAGAAAAAATTGTATAACAGTTTAAAATCTAATATATTTAAAAAATTGTTAATGACAGGGGGAGATTGTTAAAATTTTGAAGTTTTGAAGAAAGACAAGTATAGCGAGAGTTTATTATAAAGGGGGAGATTGTTCGAAAACTATGAAATATCAAATCTCAAATTGTCAAAGCTTCTGAAAGAATTCTGAAGATCAATGCTGAAGATCTGAAGAATTTCTGTTTTTGGACTTGAATCCAAAGGGGGAGATTGTTAAGTTTAAAATGTTGTATTCAAGTTCCTGTGCTTAAAACTGTTTTATATTGCTTTCTAGTTAGCGTTGGTTTCTTTGTAATCTATGGTGTAAATAAGGGTGTTGTAATAGTTCTGGTAGTTAGTTGATCATAATCTATTGAGATCTTTCAGAGAGAATATCGGGCATCATTGTGGCATCAAGAACACACTGTAATACTTGTGGCATTTCAATATACATATGGCTTATCAGTCTGTTCTAAATTGATTGTGACTTGATCTGGGATCTACAATCTAGCCAAGAAGCGAAAGACTTTTCTTATCAAAGATTTCTTTTCCATGTGATTTTATTTTAACCATACATGCACTCAATATTGAGTACAAAGAACTACCATATCTTCATACTTTCCTTAATCTTACAAGTTTTCTCTCAAAATGAATTTTAACTTCAAAAATACACTGCATTCTCTCATTTTTGAATCTTCTTCAGACGATGGAAGTTTGCAAATTATATCCAGTTTTGAAGAAGACGAAGAACCAATATCTCATTCTATCACTAATAACAACTTGTTCATCCAACACATTTCGAATCAACAAAATAATCGGGTGAACCACGATGGCTCAGTACTTGGGCGTTTGTTCATAAGTCGTGATTGAGAAAGCACGAATTCTAGGTTGTTTAATGATTACTTTTCAGAAACCCTGTTGTACAATGATGCCATGTTTTGCCGGAGATTTTGAATGTCTCGCTCATTGTTCCTTCGTATTGTTAATGAACTTAAGTCTCATGATCGCTATTTTGCACAACGGAGGGATATTTTTGGTAGACTTGGATTATCTCCTCTCGAGAAAATAACAGATGTGTTTCGTATGCTTGGATATGGTCAAGCAACAGATTCCACCGACAAGCATGTTAAGATAAGACCATTAATAGCAATTGAAAGTATGAAAATATTTTATGTCGAGCAATAGTGGAAATATTTTCAGAGCAGTATTTGAGATCACAAACTGCTAATGATGTGGCAAGACTTCTCTATATTGGTGAAAAAAGAGGTTTTCCATGAATGTTGGGAAGCATAAATTGCATGCACTGGAAATGGAAAAATTGTCCAATTGCCTGGGCTGGGCAATACACGGGTCGTGATGGATCACCAACTACTATTCTTGAAGTTGTCGCAAATTATGATCTTTGGATATGGAATGCTTATTTCGGTATGCCAGTCACAGACAATGATATCAATGTGTTCAAGTCTTCTCACCTTTTCTCCAATCTTGCTTAAGGTATTGTTCCTCCGCTCGTTACTTCATTCAAGGAAAAAAAAATATGATATGGGTTATTACTTGGCGGATAGCATATATCCAAAATGGTCCACCTTAGTGCAAACTATTCATGAACCACGCGGTCGCAAAAAATAAATATTTCACTATGCAACAATAAGCATGTAGAAAAG